AAATTTGAAGGGAAATTATCCATTAATATTGAATCTCACAGGGAATTATTTAAGGGAAATACCATCACTCGATTACATAAAACCTCTTAACTTAACACATTTATTGTTATCCAACAACAATATTTCTGAAATATCGCTGGACAGATTACCAAAAACTATCCAAGTATGTAAATAGCTTATTTTATCACTTTTTCTTTTCATTCTTTTGAGTTATTTCATAATTGTCTCTTTTATCTTCTTTTACGTTTTTAGGTATTAGAATTACATAATAATAATCTATTAAGCATGAGTTACAACGTAAGTGAATTCTTATTTCAACAAAATTACAAAAAATTAACTTTAAGTGGGAATCAATTTATATGTGGTTGTGATGATAGATTTATATATGTATTAGTTTTACAATTGCAATCTATTCATGAAGATCTAAAAAATGTGAAGTGTCAAGGCTACGACACTTCTTTAAGTAGTATGACCATTGATGAATTGTGTTTATTCACTGATCCAAGTTAGAAAACGTCAAAAATGTAAAATAAAATAAAACAAAAAAATAATGGTTTCGGCAGAATGTTTAAAGAGATAAGTATTATATGTACAGCGATTTTTAACAGAAAAAATTTCTATATTTTAGAGAATATACTAATACAATATAAACCGGTTAGTGTCTATTATTGTCTTTATTAATGTTAAATTATAGAATTTTATTTATTGTCTTTTAATTATTATTATATTTGAATCAATTAAGTTATGGAAAACGATATTAAAAGCATTTTTTCACATATCAGAAAAATATGCCAGCTAAAATGCTTTGCAAATATGAAAAAGAAAGTAATTTTTTTGCACAAGAAAGAAGTAAAGATAAAAATAATTCAAGAAATATTAGTTATTATTTTCGAAAATAATATATCACAAATACTATATAAAATGGTAATTTAATTTATTAAAATAAATGAATTAAATTTATTGACTTTTAAATATAATTTCGATTAAATAATGGTACTAATAAAATATATTTTTTTTTCTTTAAAATATTACTTCTGGCAAAATGAAATATTTATTTTTAAAAACTTAAACACTTTTAAAAAATTTAAATATTTTATTTTAAAAAGTAATAATTTTTTGAAGAAATAAAATATATTATTTTTTGTAATAGCAATAGTAGAAAAAATAAAAAATATTATTTTCAGAAGTATAACTTTTTGAATGTGTAAAATATATTATCTCTAAAAATAAATGTATGACATAAATAATATAATTTATTTACATTTATTATGAAAAACAGCATCATAAGTAGCTATGAACTACAATATTTTTTTATAATTTATATTATATGTTACATTTATTTTTATTGTTTAGAAAATTCGTGTGTATTATAAAAAAGATAATTATTGTGTAATTCATATTAGATTATTGAGTTACTTTAAAAACTACTCATTTCACAA